TAACGAAACTGGAAGCATTGGTGGGAAATGTTCCTGATGGTGAAGAATTTCAGACCCTTATGACAAGGCTTGCCTACCTTGAGGCAGAATTGGCAAGGCTAAGTCAAGAGAATGCGGATCTGAGGACGGAAACAGTGGTGCTACGACGTGCTGTGGGCGAGGATGCTCCTCAACGTGGTGCTGAACGTCTCAAGGTGAGAATTCCTGAACCTAAGGCATTTAGTGGTGCAAGGAGTGCACGTGAGTTGGAGAATTTTCTTTGGGATATGGAGCAGTACTTTCATGCTATTCGTGTGCAAGACGAGATGGAGAAAGTAACCTTGACTAGCATGTATTTGAGTGAAGATGCTAAGTTATGGTGGCGCACTCGTGTGGCTGAAGATGAAAGTTTGGGTAGACCAAAGATTGAGTCGTGGGAGCGGCTTAAAAAGGAATTGAAGGATCAGTTCCTTCCTAGTAATACATCTTGGATTGCTAGGGACAAACTGAAAAAGTTGAAACACACCGGATCAGTTAGAGCATATGTGAAAGAGTTCACATCTTTGATGCTGAGCATCAGCAACATGTCGGAAGAAGACAAGTTGCACAACTTCATGAGCGGGCTGCAACAGTGGGCACAACTCGAGTTGCGAAGGCAGAATATTCAAAACCTCGCAAGTGTTGTGGCTGCGGCTGATGCATTGGGCGATTTTCACTTGAGTGATGAGACTTCTGCTTCAAATTCCAAAGACGGAAAGAAGGACAAGGCAAAGGAGTGGAAGAAATGTGAAAATGGCAATGCAAATAAAGACAAGGGGAAGGGAAAGCAGGAAGCTGGAACTTCAAAGAGCAAGGAGAAGGGCAGCAAATTCAGTGGTTGTTTCCTTTGTGATGGACCACATCGAGCGAGGGACTGTCCGAACAAGGCAGTGTTAAATGCTATGACTGCCGCAGAGAAGAGGGCTGCATTGGAGATGCTGGACAGTGACAAACAAATTGTTGGTGTCAATGCAATTGTAGCTGAAGAGAAACGGGGTCAAGGTGCGTTGATTGTCAACCCCTTAGGGCTCATACATTGAGTTGACCTCGACGAGGACGTCGAGTTTCAAAGAGTGTGGGTGGTTTGTTAGACCTCCAACAATTGAGCTCGATCGGACAACAAGAATGTTGTCATGAGGCAGCAAGAGTGTTGCAAAGCTTGGTACATGAGCAGCACCAATGTCAAAAATGGGAAACGGGCAAGTGATGGCCAAGGCTTTGACGGAAGCGAGGCAGCTTGGCAAGAGCTTGACAATGAGTTGCGGGCTAAGGATGACACTTAATCATGGCAAAGGCATCAAGGCATGAGGCAGTGATGCCAAGGCAAGGCAAAAACGGATGGGCAAAGGCAAGCAAATGTGCAACGGAAAGGCAGTGCGCGGGCAGACTTGTCATGCCATTGAGTTGCGGCAAACGGGCCAAGTTCGTGGGCGANCAAGGCAAATTGCGGCACAATGCATCTGGATACAATGGCATTGGCGCCTGGTCCAAGCCATGGCACAAAATTGGGCAGCAAGTCTTGGATTGACAAAGTCAAAGGCGGTTATCGGCACATGTTGTGCACATGGGCAGCAGTTGAGTCTTGTCCAAAAAGCTGGCAGGAGTTAGCACGTTTTTGAGGGTCATGATCTCATTGTCTTTAGCATGATTTACATGATCCTAGTAGTTGGGGGTGTCAACTACACTAAGCTAAAGTAGTGGGCTGAGTAAGCAAGTGCCTAAGCCTAAATATAGGCAACTATTGTGTAAATGGGGCTGGTTCATATGTTATAAATGGACAGCACCCTTTCCTTTTTGGGACAAGAGTGAAAAAACGTGTAGAGTGCATGTTTGAGTTAGGAAGGAGTCCTAAACTTGTTTTCAAGAGTGAAAACAACCTAAGGCTAAGAGTAGTCTTGTGAGGGTCAAGAGTGATCTTCATTTTGTACGCGGATGTACTTTGAGCTTTGAGTTTTCTTTGTATTCTCGAGTTAAATACAAAGTTGGGAAAGAGTTTTCTGTATATTGTGCCTTTTGTTCACTTTAATTTTCTGTCCCTTCATTCGATTTTCCGTTGCCTAAAATCAGTGTCTACTTACTACGTTGAAAGCTGCCTAAATAAATCTATGTCCAAAGTTGCAGAATTTTGGCCGAGTGTTGAAACAGGCTGAAGTCAAGTCAAGACTTGGCTGCCGCGGAGGCTGTTTTTGTGGAGCATAAAACACCCCTGTGACAGTGGGGGAGATGAAGGTGGTCGAGGTGGTGGTGGAGATGGTGGTGGTGGAGATGACGGTGGTGGTGGAGATGACGGTGGTGGATAATAGGGTGGTGGCACTGAGCCATCAACACAGATAGGCTTGCAAGAACAACACTCAGTTATGCAGCCATTAGGACCAAATTTGGGACAAACATGTGGAAGATTTTTACATTGCTTGATTTCATCATCTGAGCAATGAGAATGGCTTGGATGGTCAGCTATTCCAGGGGGAGTTGCCTCTGCCATTGCTATAAGCATTAGCAACACAATCCCAAAGAGGGCCACACATCTAGCCATTTGCAGTTAATTGAGGAACTTTCACTACTGCTAATTAATAATTGATGTATATTTCAAATATTTGAGAGAATGAGTGATGAGATTCCCGTTGTAGAATGCCCCATTTTATAGGAGTTGACAAGGAGAATGTAAGCCTACTATTTCGGACCCATAATTGCATTATATATTTGACTAATAATAATGGGATGTTCCTTTGATAGGTCGCCTTTCTTCATGTGTTTCTTTCCCCAACTCAAAGTCGCTTAAAGACCTCAATGCTCTCTTCAATGTTTGTCTTCTTGCTAAACATCGATATACATGGCATCACTTGGCTATAAAGCTACACATACAACACTTTCATGTAAGAACTCATGTCTATATTTATATATACACGTACCTTTCCTTGACGTAGCTCCAAAATAAAAAATGAAGACCAAGAAAGAAGTAAGGGTGTTGTTTCCATGCGAGATACCAGACCAAAGAAATATTTTTGTGCCCGATTTTTTCCAAATTAATAAATACATCCCACATAATCGTAGTTAATTAATACTATTATCACCTCATTATGTCATTTAACAACCTAATGCACCTTTTGGTGCAAACAACATGCTAGTTAGTCGGAATCAGAAATTCGACTAAGAAAACTCAAAAAGAAAATACAAGAATATCACACCTGAAATTCAAATCTACAATCCTATTTGCATAATATAATTAGCGGGTCGACGAAGGAGATTTATAGTCCGTTTGGCCAAGCTGCAAAAATCAGCTTATTTTGAGAAGTGCTTTTTTCAAAAGTACTTTTGGTGAGAAGCAGTTTGTGTTTGGCTAATTAGTTTAAAAAACACTTCTGAGCAACAATTAGTGTTTGGCCAAGGTTTAAAAAACTGCTTCTAAGTGTATTTTTCTCAAAAGTGCTTCTCAAAAAAGTGCTTTTGGAGAGAAGCTACTTTTTTCTGCTTCTCCAAAACTGTTTTTGCTTCTCCTCAAAAGCACTTTTTTTTCCTTCCAAAAACTTGGCCAAACACTTTAATTTTTGGTTAAAAGTGCTTTTGGCAAAAAAAAAAATACTTTTGGCCAAAAAGAAGCTTGACCAAACAGGCTATTAATTGAATCGCTTTTGTTGTATGTGGCTCCGCTGGTTAACCTCTATCAGAGAAACCATGTGGTCAATACGTAAAATACATTTAATCTATAAAAGAACAAACAACTTAATTCATTATGCATGCCTTCACTATCAAGGGAAAATAAAAATTACGTAGTAAGGCTGCATGCAGACGTCAGAACATGGCAAAGCAGTACGTTTTATATGCATGTGTATAGGGTCCTTTCCTTCTCAATTTGGTAAAGTAAGCTGTGAGTTAGCTTCCACCCATTATTACGTAAACCAAACTCTGGCCTATACAACTTATTCGATTGCCCAGAGTATTTCAGTAAGTTCTTTGGCGANTTTCGATTGCTCAGAGTATTTCAGTAAGTTCTTTGGCGACTTGAATCGTAGTATCACATCTTATTTCTACTTAGATGTTTTGTTTAGATTTATCGCGGTTCATATATCATTATTCTTGTATTCACAATCATAAGTCATAAATTATAACTGGTGCACCAGTGAATACAAATAAATGATATTCCATCAATGATCTTCCTTTTCTCACAATCCCCTTAACATTAATTAGTTTGATTGCTTTTCTAGATATACACTGCTAGACCGAATTTGTGTTTATGTTTCTTTGGAAACACACTAAGATAGACATCACACTAGGTCTCAAGTATCTGATCAGAGTCTTTGAGGGTACAAAATCTTGAGCCACCATAAAAACTATGGGTCTCAACATTAAGTTGAGAATGGACTTATGTTAATCCAATTGGTCGACAATAGCACACATGGTATGAAACATGTGCTACAACATCTTTTCCTTTTTCCCAGGAAGCATATGTTTTTATCTCATAAAGGAAGTTATACATTTGATATTTAAAAACCATAAGTATCTAAATTTTAGTTCATTGATCTACAATATCATTTTTAACTCATATCTGGCTCACAAAGTAGACTAGGTGAATGTTTTTCACCATAATGACCTTATGTCATTGTTAAAACACATTCTAATTTTAAGCGAATATTTCTCAAATTATGCTTATGATAATTTTGCTTAAAATCATGTCTCATATCCTCACATTATTAAGATAAGGAGACAGTTTCCTGTGTGAGAAGGTCAACTTCTTGTCTACTCACATTATCCTCACATTATTTCTCAAATATGTATGTATGTATGTATATATGTATGTATGTATGTAAATTAACTTTATTCATAATCAAAGAACATCAGTTTTGTGAACATGACAAAATAAAGAACAAAATGAAGTGTCTCAAAGTTTACGCAAGCCTTGAGACCTAGTGTGTTTCATAAATGTATCTCTAGACAAAGGCTTAGTCAATGGATCTGCTAACATATCTTTTATAGACTCATACTATACGTTCACTACCTTACGTCTAACCATGACTCTCGCATAGCTATACTTGATATCTTTGTGTTTGATTTTACAATGAAACTTATGGTCCTTAGTGGAGGATATTGCAGCCTTACTGTTACAGTAGACTAACACTGGTTTAGTGTCTTTAGAGATATCCAACAAGTATTATTGCAAGAACTTTTTCAACAAAACAACTTCTTGTGGTGCTGAAGCGAGAGCGACGTACGTATTTGGCTTCTATCGAAGATAGTGATATACATGATTGTTTCTTACCACTCCATGATATCGTGCCATCACTGAGTAAGAAAACATATTCTGAGGTAGATTTTCTCTCGTCTCGATCTCTTTCGAGATCAGCATCACTGTATCTAACAAACTGCAGATCCTTGTCGCCTTGGTAACAAAGTGCATAATCAGTAGTTCCCTTTAAAAATCTCATGATACTCTTTACTACTTGTCAATATGCTAAACCTGGGTCAGTTTGATATCTACTTACTAAGTCAACTGCTTGACAGATATTAAGTCTAGTACATATGATAGCGTACATTAGACTTCCGACTGCGCTCATATAAGGAAATTGACTCATTCTTTCAATCTCTTCAGGAGTCTTAGGACATATCTGACTTCCCAAGGTATGGCCTTTAATGATAGGAGTATCAATCGGGCTACTATTTTGCATATTGAATCGTTCAAGAATTTTCCTAATGTAATTCTCACAATTCAAGAATTTTTCTAATGAAATTCTCTTGTGAGAGATACAATAGTTTCTTTGGACGATCTCTTGAAATCTTAACTCCAAGAATATATGCAGCTTCACCCATATCTTTCATATCAAATTAAGATGACAACCATGACTTTATCTTAGTTATAAAGTACTTATTATTTCCATCTATAAGTATGTCATCTATATACAATGTTAACATCACTAGCTTGTTCCTTGATCTATTGGTATAAATGTATTGGTCTTCGTCCATCATGGTAAAACCATTAGATATGACAACATTTTAAAAATGTATATACCATTGTCTTAAAGATTATTTGAGGCCATAAACAGACTTCAAAAGTCTACAAACTTTTTTGTTCGTGGCCCTTTTTAATGAAACACTTAGGTTGTTCCATATAGATTTCTTCATCTAATTCTCCATTGAGAAAGGCAGTCTTTACATCTATGTGATGTAATTCAAGATTTAAGCTTGCAGCAATAGCTAGAACCAGGTGAACAAAGGTAAATCATACAATAGGAAACAAAAGTCCCTTCGTAGTCTATTCCTTTTTGTTGTGTGTACCCGTTCTCCACCAGTCAAGCCTTATATCTCCCAACTATGCCATCAACCTTGAGCTTAATTTTGAGAACCCATTTGTTCGTCGTTCTCAGATGGGCAGATGGAGTTATTAGAAAGAATTTCCGATCGTCAGTAAGGGAAGGGAGCTGAACCTTTTTTGGGAAATAAGCCCTCTTATCTCGTCTGAAGTTGTAGATAGTAGGGGGGATCACCTTCAGATGAACTGCTGATATTGATCCAAAAAAAAAACGGTAGGTACATCTAGGCCATGAACAGCCAACTGTTTGAACTGGTTCTCAAACCTACTACTATACGAACAACCTAATTGCTTTGTGTCCTTCAAGGAGGTAAACTAGTTTCCAAACTTTGTTGACTCTCACAGACTCCAATTAATCTTCCATTGATTTTGTCCATTTATCCTTATAAGGGCATGAGAGAGCCTCTTTTATATTTTTAGGCTCACTTTATTCTTGTAGGAGCATCATAAATTATTCATTGCCTTCAATATCAAATCGCGCGGGGAGTTTTTTTTTACTAGAACCACGTCTTATTTGTGATTCATAATTGTTCACATTTAGATCAATGTTGCTCCCACTTGGATAAAGAACAGTCATCATTCTCCCACTTGGAACAAGATCTGTGACCATCTCGCTCTCACTTGGAACAAGATTCAATTTCTCACTTCCACTAAATATATAAGGATTAATTTCATTCATATCTAATGATGATGGAGGTCCTTTATGAAAAACTAATTCATCATTTGCTAAAATTCTCCCAATAGAATGAACTGATCCTTGTAGTTCTTGATCCATTATCTCAAATAAGGTTAGGTCTTGACCTACCTCTCCCTTCTTAGGAAACTCATCCTCTAAGAATGTGACATCTTGTGATTCAAACTCAGTTACACTCCCACTATCTTGCTGACCATTAAACATATAATCCTTTGAGGTTTCAAAGTATCTTATAAAAATACTTTTCTTTCCCTTCGTGCCCAATTTGTCATATTTGTGAGAGGAATCATGTGTATAGGCAACACAACTCCAAGGTCTTAATACACTCAGGTCGGCTTGTCTTCTAGTCTATAACTCATATGGAGTAGTAGTAACTAACTTTGTAGGCATTTTGTTAAGTACATATGTGGCAGTAAGCAACAATCACCCATCTACTAATTGCGAGGTTAACTTGCGCCATCATTGACCTAACCATTTCTATGAGCGTTCTGTTTCTTCTCTTCTCAAAAACATGTTATTGTGGAGTATTAGGGGATAGTCAAATGATGAACTATTCTCTTTTCATCACATAATCCATTAAATTGGGTTGATAAGTATT